ACACACACACACACACACACACACACACGCATACACACACACACACACACACACACACACATACACATACATGCACACATACACACATGCCCAAGATTTTGAGTTTTTATCTTCTCTTGCAGTGAATTAATCTGTGGCATCGTTAGCATGGGCTCAAGAAATAGTTTGTAGAAATTCAAAAAATAAATGTAAAAGAAAAACAGGCCTAGATCTATCTAAAAAAGGGTAAAATTGTTCATTAAAAGAATGAAACAGTTTTTCCGTCTCCAGTAAAACTTCTACTTTTTCTTCTTTGTTGGCTACATTTGAACAGCTTAACGACGATGTGCTCTATCACAAGTTAAAACAAAATAACTCCAGAAAAAAACAACAAATAAAACCAAACAAAAAGAAACAAACAAAAAACCCACAAAAACAACAACAAAATCTTCGCAATCCACAGAAAGATATTGGCCAAAAACCGACACTAGGGTCAAATTTGTAGATTTTCTATTGATGCCATATTCTTAAGCATAACATGCATTTTCTTTTTTCATACTTATAAATTATAAGGACTTCGCCAATAAGCGTGATGTATCTATTTCCTCAAGGCTTGAATCCGAGAAGTAGCTCATTTTGCCAGCACGCTTCACTGAAATAACCCTTTTTTCCATCTCACCAGAGCCCTGGCCAAGCTGGAGGACCTCGCCTCATAGATGTGCTTGGTGCAATAAAGGATTTCAGGGGAAAATGAAAACCCTTGTCAATTTTGTTGTGGTATAATTGTTGCTTTCTTTTTAGCTAATGATAACATAGGGCCTATGTGTTTTTACACCCACTTCGACACAAATTAGATCACTGTGGAAGCAGGCATTGCCTTGCTTGTAACGGCTAACCCGTACTGAGAGGGGTACAACATCTCAGCAGAAATACTGCGAGATGATATTTATTCAGATTTTATTATTTTTTAATAGGAAAAATCTCCACAATAGGGAATCGAATTCGGGATCTCCTGGGCGTGCGACAGTGATTATGCTTAACTACCCACTGCTTTCTATCTTAGTAACAAAATCTAGTGATTTTAAGCCCTCATCGACACAATTTAGATTAGCTAGGAGGTGGGTTTCCGACCCTGCCTGTCAGGTCCAACCCTGGCTGAGAGGGCTGAGAGGGATACAACATCCCAGCAGACAGACTGAGATACATGTACTCGGCAAACAAACTCGGGCCTCCTGCGTGCGACAGCAAATTGCCTAACTGCTACACCACAGACGCCTGTGATAGGTATGAGTCTTATGACATTACACATAACTGGTTTTAGTTTTAGTAGAGGTTTTACGGTGCTCGCAACTGCATAATAAGGTCATATGAGCCCCAGAAGATTAGGGGTGTTACAAGAGAGTAACAAACATAAAAAGAAGAAGGGGAGATACGGACGATAGATGTCTGATAGGAAAGAAGAAGAAAACCACACCAGAGCACCCGCCAACCACCCACACGCGTTATTGGTGATAGAACAGTTTCGATCAACTGAATAAAGGATCCGATCAAGAAATTGGTCAATGTGTCACGATTTGATAACAATAGAATGATGATGACCTGGCACGGACAGCCGAAGAGGGCGGACATTTATTTAGTGAAGGCAATGAATGCTGTAGGCGTACATGTACTTCTAAGGCAAATCAGGTCTATGTTATTGCCAAAGAAGAAAAGAAGAGAAGAAAAAAAAGGCTATTCTTCCAAATTAGCGACAAAACAGTATACTTTTGTCGGCAACTTGACTGAGTTTTTCTATCCATCAAGTGGCACCTGACATGACCATGCCCCCGAATGACCTTGCTCCTTACCTCGAATGTGACCTTGACATGACCCTGAGTGTGACCTTGACATGAACCTGAACTTAACCCTGACTGTGGCCCTGATGAGATCATAGTAATATTAATTATATTATAATCATTATCATCAAGTGCCAGATCAGCGACAGACATCGGCAGCCTTGGTTTTCAATTCATACCTTTGTTGATCGCATACTCTGAAAAAAGTATACATTAAAACAATATTATCATATTCTTTCCCCCTCATCCATTTGTTTACACTTGCCAAGTAAGTTGCTCTGGGACTACCCCTTGCCTCACTTGCCTCCGGTCTTACCATTGAGAGCTAAATGGCCAAGGCCTTTATGTTTATTGAAATATATAAATAACAATAATGAACAAAAATATCATTTGTATAGTGCATATCTCCGCTCAATAGCAAACTCTATGCGCTTTACAACAATATCAACATAGCAGACCCCAGATCACTCAGAAACATCTTAAGGTTTTTGAGAAGCTTGCAGTGTAAGCAGCTGATACGCGCTAAAACGCGAACAAACAAACAGGATCTTAAGAGTCTGCTACTGAGCGGGGACATGCGCTATACAAATGCTATCTATTATTATTATTATTATTATCTCTTATAGTCTATAGCTGTGTACCCATTTCCGCCTGGGTGAAGCAAGTAAAATGTTTGTAAGAGTAAGGTGTCAGCAAGAACAACAGACACCATCGCTGCAACGCAAGACATATTGAAAGGGAGGTCCATGATCGCCCACGCCAGTCGGCAAGGCACCGGATGATGGTGATGAATGTGCCTTTCCAAAGGACACAACGCTGGACCTCTGGCGACATTCGAATCCAAGATCTGTCGGTTGCGAACCCAGCAGCCTTACAACTAGACCACCGAGGCAAAAACAACATGACCATGCCCTAATCTGACCATTCAAAAGTTGAAACCTCTAGGTTTTACGTCCATCTCGAAATGGACAGGGCCTCAAGGGAGGAGAGCCTTGAAAACTGCACAAAATAACCCACACAGACACAAATTAAATAGATCATATTTATTATTATAAGTGCCGAGGATTAGAGGTGATACTAGAGATACAAAGAAAAGAAGGAGGAGAGATAAGGACAATAGATGTTTGATAGAGAAGGAGCACGCGCTCTACTTTAGTTTTGAGTAAGAAATGAGTAAGCACATAGACACGACATCTGCCAGAAACTAGCGAGAGAGACCGAGAGATTAAAAAAAGAGATAAGAAAAAAGTAAAATCTACAAGTAGCATCCTCGAAACACGCACATTTTAAATATGTCGTATGCATACCTTTGCAAACTCAAGTGTCTCCTCGGGGGTGAATAAGAAACATGATAGTTTTTTAAAGTTTTACTAAACGTTTTACGACACTTGCAACACAATACTGGTACCTATTGTTATGAGTTTTTTCTCATCAGGGATCGAACCAGACTCTTTGGAGTAAGAGGTGGGCCCCCATAGAGTACCAACATAGGGCCAAAAAGAAGTAAGCCCTAAAAGTGGCACTACCTAACCGTCCACACTACAATGTAACAGGTCGAGGCACTGGAGACCTCCACGGTAGTTTACAGCATGTTGTTAGCAGATGAAGGAGAGGGGAAAGGGAGAGAGAGAGAGAGAGAGAGAGAGAGAGAGAGAGAGAGAGAGAGAGAGAGTGTTAACATACCTATTTCAAGCATTGTCACCGCTCATGTTGTTATACATGACGTACAACATATATAATAATACGTACGTACAAAGATAGTTCCTATACAGTGGTATACTCACAACCACAGGTGTCCATCACCCACGTTAGGTGTTCTTAAAATCTCAGGTACCACAACCATTGTCACAACTCAAGGTGTTATGTATAAGGGGGTGAGATGCAAAACTTGCTAAGAAACATTTCGGGAAAAAAATCGAGATTTTTTTGCTTATAAATGCACATTGTTACCGCCCATCAGAAGCACAAAGTGATTTCGGCCAAAACATAACACATGCTTCGTAAAAGCTACCAAACATCTTTTACGCATGTTCGTGAGTAAAGCAATATTAAAAAAACCCAACTGATTTTCTCAAAGGTTCTAAAATGGATTTCGCAAAGTTTTGCATCTTAGCCTCTCGTATACTATACACATACATAAAAATAATACACACCTACAAAAAAAAGTTCAACACATTGGTATACTCACAAACACACGTGAACCCATCACCCACGTAGTTGTTGTTAGAGTTGTAGACAATGCAACCATTGTCACAACTCATGTAGTTATTTTTCTACTTACTTTACTTTTTTCTTCCGCTTGTACCGGTGGGTGTCGCGGGGAGACACTGGCGTCTGTCTGCAGCTAGGCGAGTGGCCTGTAGGAGGGACATCCCGTGAGCTCTGAGGGTGTCTGCCACAGATTCACTCCATCGTCACCTTGGTCTTCCTCTGGCTCTCCAGTCAGAATATTTAATCTTATATGCTCTCAAAGCTCGGTGTTTGTTTATCTACTACAAACATAATAATACACACCTACATAAAAAGTTCAACACATTGGTATACTCACAGACACAGGTGAACCCATCACCCACGTAGTTGTTCTTAGCATCACAGGCGCAGGTGAAGCCACCGGGGAAGTCAGTGCACAGGGCGTGAGGGTCACACTCCGGGCTGGGGCAGTCCACGATGTCTGGGCAAGGTGGAAATGATGATGAGTGGTGAGGCTTTCTTAATAACAAGAACGATGATAACAATAATAGTAATAATAATAATAATAATAATAATAATAATAATAATAATAATAATATAATAATAATGATAATAATTATGATAATAATAATAT